GTTCTGAGTTCGCCCTGTTTGTCTCCATACTTCACCTAAAATCAAACAAAGATTAAATGAGTTTGGTAAATCTTGTGGAGAAACCGATAAGAAATCTTGGTATATCTTAGAAAATCTGTAGACACTAAAATCAATCATTGTCTCAAATTACGAGAGTGGTGGATCGAAGGAGACGAACCTTAAATTGTTAGAAATGAGAAAACTTCCCCATCTTGAGATGGGAGTCTTGTCCGAGAATCTATTAATGATCTAGGCTATAATTGAACTGGACGTGTCCAATCTGCATGGTTTAATTGAATATTGCCTTAAACTGAGAAGCGATATAAACTTACATTAGCCCGAGGAGAAGACTATCTTTTACCAGTAGTAGACAGACAGACACGATTCGCATCCTTTTATAGAAGGTTAGAGCCATCTTGTTGAGTTCTAAATTGGTTGTAAGTAAATGAAACCACTCAACAGTAATCCCCATTAAACAAGGACTGAAATAAATTGTAAGTAGTTCTAAGCAATAGGATTAAACTACTGACCATTCTCTACCAGTGATAGATGAGACATGAGAACCAAGACAGATCGCGAATACGATTTTCTTCACAATAGAATTCTATACAGATTCCTACTCAAAACAGAAATAGAATTTTTAAAAATATGCCTATAAAATAGGTTCTATTACTAAATGACTTTCAAAGGGTAACTCCCACTTGAAAAATAAAGAGAATCTATAGTATGTACTTTCAAATAGTCACAATAAGATAGGTTCAATTACTAAATAACTTTCGAAGAATAATATGCACTTTTCATTTAATGTTTTTAATGTGATTTTGGGGTTAGGGGAGGGGAGGGGATTGTAATATTAATTTTTTATTATATAAAATGTGTATTGTAGCTTGATGTACACATTCAGTGATTAAATATGGTTGGGTTATATAAAATAGGTTACTATTGAACGTGTTATTAGGTTTGATGCGAGTAGAATGTTTAAATGTAAATGACAATTATCGTGAGCTGTTAATGAGTGAGGAGATAACATTGTATCGAATAATCTTACAGTCTCTACGATCTCGTTATACATACTAAATCACTGCTTGACGATATTATGAATATTGGTGGAATTCAAACAAAATTCTTGCCTGACTAATGGCGTGATACCTGTTTTCTACGAGTTATTTATTGATTGGACAGACAAGAGAAATTGCCGATATTGGATTTCTTGATGGCAGTAATTATTGGGACTATTCTCACGTCTTTTGGTTTAGAGAAGAACAGATAAGATGTGATTTTTTTGTTGAATAAAAAAGAATAGTTGGAAAAAAAATGCCATTTTATGCGTTTCTAGTTGTCCATGGCTTATAGTTGAAGAGCATGTATTCTATATGGTAATAAAGTAATATGCATATTAAGTTGTTTGGTGTGAAAAAATAAGGTGCACATTTGAAATGTCTTTGTGACAGAAGAAATGACGTCTGTTTACAATTTTTGCTTAGATGAACAGTTGGCTATTATATTGGTATTGCTCTGATCAATTGAAATTCCTTCATTGTACAATGCAGGATCGAAAAAAACCCAAAGGAACCAATCTTTTTCATGCAAAAATTCTTTTTATCGGATTTCAAGCCCCCAAAATAAAGATATATAATGGTTAAGCTGTTAATCATTAACCATTAATATTGATTAGACCATATGCATGTTGATATTACTAAAGATACTCAGGTGTGGTATAGTAATGAAATTAAACTTTCTCTGTTAGTATTCTGAAGTAGCTTTGAGACAAGAGTAAACTGTTTAATAACAATTCCTTTTGTTTTCTCTATCTAGATATCTTGTACAGTACTAATGACAATACCTCCAGTAGATTGTTTATTTTGTGATATTATTTGCGATGGAAATAAGACTTGTTTGTTTCTTTTATGTAGATTAAATCTGTGTCTGATAACTATATTACTCTAACATAGACTCGGGTACCATATTCTGTTTTTATTCTTGGTTTATTATATTGTATTTAAGATGCCAATTGAGAATGAATATGATAATGGTATAAAATATTGCATGAAATTATACACAAGTTAATGTTCCCTTACTCGAGTTGTTCTTCTTCAAATAGATTATGATGCATACAATCAGATATGTATGTACATGTAGCATGACAAAAGAAAGTCAGTAATATCTTCATTATTGAAGAATGATAGCTTTTCTTCCGACCTTATTTTGATGAACATTAGATACCATAATTGACTGTCAATGATGCATACAGTCAGATATAGATGTATATATGTATATATACAAAAAAATATACATAAAATATTGTTTTTGTTCTGAGAAGAGAAAGTATGTGTAATAAGAAAAGGGAGTGATTTCTTTTGATGTCAATATGTAAACATTGTTAGCAAGCACTAAGGAAAACCATATCTATTATATTAGACAATATATCTGGATGAACTTAATAGGATTTAATTGAATAGTACTTTCTTAATTTGTCCTTCAAATAACTATTCTTGAAAATAATGGATTTTATATGCTAGACTATTATTTATATAATAAATCAATTCAAGATTAACAAAAGATAAATTTAGAAACCTTTCATCTATTCTTAAAACAATGATAACCAATATTTATCTTCATCAACATATTAACATCAGTATTATTTTTATCGTATTTTAGTGTTGGTCTCACTGGATTTCTGTAAAAGCCTATTTGTTGGGTGTTAAATCCCTATATTTTAGTATCGTATTTCAATTGATAGGAATGTTTATATAGAGTACATATCATTCTATTTCTGATCTTTTGTTGTATTAGATGTTAAAGTGACGAATGGCTGATTACCGTATTGATTTTGTTTTCCATGAATATGAAAAAAAATAATACAAATTTGTTTTCTTTTTCTTTAATTAGAATCTGATGTCTTTCTATCTAAATATGTCATTAATACAGATAAAGTGTATCTGTCTCTCGATTCATTTTATACTATACATTTTTTTTGTTTGTAAAATGTCTCTTTATCCCAGATATAATTGAAAGGTTATAGAGTCCAATATTTAATATAATCGCAAACTTCAGTAACCTGTGAATTAATTAAGTGAAATATTGACAAGCTTACAAGCAGTGATTCGTTTTGATTTAATTCTAAATATAGAATAATGACTTCACAACTAGGCTGGGAATATTCTACAGTAACAGCATGTTACATGGTTCTTTCATCTCATCCCCCATAATCAACAAACCAATTTAAAGTTTTTCAAATTTTAATGAAATTGGGATATTTTTGATGATACATACATTATTTTGTAGTTTTAATTAGCACTTTATTACAATGTTTATAATGAATAAACATAAGATATTGATAAAATGTTACTTATATATATATATAATTTAATCACAGTTACAGGACAGGTGTGTTTACAAAATGGAATGAATTTGATAGAAAATTTATTTTAATAAAAATATATTTTAGGCCTATAGATTTGTTTTTCATTAAATCCAGATTATCTATCAATGTAAGTTGTTTGGAGCCCATATCTAGTTTAATTATATCTCAAATTACTTTCTTTATTAAATTGTTAACATTTCATGCGAGATAAAATTGAATTATTTCTGAATCTAGTTGTTTGTAGTTATAAATGGTAGGAAACAGTTATTTCTGGGATAATTTTGATATTAAATTATATTGTGCTGATCTGGCATATTTGCTGTGATATTTTAGAATCATCATATCAGTTTAAAAAGTGTTGTTTGTTGAAACAGTTGCATGATTGACTGGGAGGTAACTCCGATTAAATGACACTGTTTACATCACCAGTTATTAAAAGCCACACCTACAGAGTATAGATTTCGATAGGTTGTAGTTTCATAGTATGATATAAGAAATACCCGCCCTCTTAAGGTCAGATCAGGAGAGGAAATGGCTGGGTTCACTCTGACATTATTAGATAAATGACACTATGGGTGGGATTTAATTCCCACATATTGAGGCGAAACTCAATATATATATAAACAGTATGTAATACATACTATTACATTTGCACACCAATATTACCTTAAAGGGACAATATAAAAATGAAACCATTAATTATAAATTAAAAACAAAGAAACATCATCGATGCTGACGATGCATCCAAGGATTGACTCCACTTCCTTATAACTTTCATTTAATAATTATGAGTGTCGAGAAAATAAACCCAGCTTTAACCCCAATTATTGAGAGCATGAAAAATTGTCTGCATTTACTCGATATAGTAATTAGATGAGTAGAATCCCTGTAATGAATATATTTTTCATGACCTCTTGTTTGTTTTAATTTCTATGTGGATGGCAAGGACCAGCTTATTCCAATAGATCTCTTTATTGTGAGGGGTTATAAATAATTTGCTAATGTCCTCACTCACATCGAGTTGATAAAAATTCCTGTATCAAATTAACTAATGTAAAACCAGGTTACCTCCCTTGATAAACATAACTCCATTGTCCGAACGTGACCAGCTTGTATTGTGTATTCAGTCGTATTTATAAGCATTGTCTGAATATATTAACTGTCGCATATCATTACAAAAGTCTGCTCTGGACCTCGAAAAGCGCTAATTTATTGATAGATACAAATCTGCGTTGGTTGATGTTAAAATATTCTGTGAACGATAGAAAACCACACCCCAAAATATGCATTTGTAAACATTATACTGAATTATCTGCCATGGCCTCCCTTTGTAAACACTGTTTCTATTGTCCACAATTTGATGACACTATGGCCCCTCTGTGTACACGTAAGCCTACCATCCATGGTAGATGATTGAAGTTCCCACCTTTTACCTCGTGGCTGTACCACCCTGTACAATTTTAACTTTTATAAACAAAAAAAAAGATTATCATATCTAGTCCTGAATAAGCTTCTCTCCCAATGAGCTAAATCTAATTTAATCCAAATAGAAAATGTCCTTCCTCAATTAATGCATTGAAAGGAAAAAGGGTTTATGTTATTTTCAATTAATTGTTATCCAATTTTTATCTTATAGGCTTTGGCTTTGTAACTTTTGAAACTGAAGATGCAGTAGAAAAAGTCTGTGAAATACATTTCCATGAAATTATGGGCAAAATGGTAAGTAGTAGGCTACTGTTCAACTTTAGATTAAGTCTAATTTATACTTGCACAATATTATTGCCCTTTTTTTAATGCTCACATTAAAATGTCATCTCTGTCTGTCGTCCAGAATTGCTTGTGGTTGTTCTAGAGGCAAAAGCCATCATCTGATTTATAAAATGTGTTTATGTTCATGAAATTAAAAAGTCTTTGGATTCTCAACAATTTCCAATAATGACCTTTTTGGTTATTGCTCTTTAGAAGCAAAAGTTATCATCCAGTTGATTTGAAAATTTATAGTCAGTGTTTGTGTTCATGAGATGAAAAAAGCCTAATGATTTTCAACGATTTCCAATAACTCTGATAGTAGTCTAAAGTTATCGTCTAATTACTGGTCCAGCAATGTCAATGAATTTGTCCAAGCACTGTCATGCTCTGTTAACATGTCCTTAAACAATTGGTCTTGATTTAACACCTATTTAGTTAGACATCAGTGTCAAAAGATGATATCCTTACGAAAAAAAAGTTAAACGCATTTGTAGCCTAAATGAGTTTTAAAATGCAAGAGATCAGTAAAGGGAGGTAACTCCTGTGTGAAATAATGTATAATTGTATGTTTCCTATCCTTTGTGTCTTGCAGGTAGAATGTAAAAAAGCTCAGCCTAAAGAAGTTATGCTACCAACACAATTAGCACGGGGTAGAGGCTTAGCACGAGGTGCTTATGGTTAGTATTTAAAACATAGTGTGCACTTGGACAACCCTTTCTTACATCATCTCGTAACCTTTGGCCTCTTGTTTTCCATGGCAACCAGTTATACATGCATGCTAAGTAGTGATTTTATATATTTCTGTATTCTATAGTCCATAGTTTAAACTTCAAAACTAAATATAACTAGTAATATTATCGTCAATATATGATGTGATAGCCTCCCTCCACCAGACACCTCAACCTCACTTAGTTGTAAGCTGACTGGACGAGCGAGTTTACCACAGTAGTTAAAGATTTAGAGCGCAAGTAACATTAGCTAGAAAGGCCCAGGTTTTGACGGTTTGCATGAACTAGTTTCGTTGTTTTATGGGGTGATGGCTACGGCTATTTTTAGGAACTGATATCAGGAATATACTGGATACCTGGATCATGAGGCCGAGGCTGGGATTGTCCAATCACAGAAGCTGTTTTTGATTGGATACAATTACACAAAAATTTGTAGAGAAGCCTTACTTCATGTAACTGAGACAGAATACATTATCTGTGAATAAAAATCCGCCAGTGGCAGGCCTTGTGACAGATAAAACTATCCAATCGCAGACAGGTTTTGTGTTTTCCCGCTTTTAATGACACTATATTATACACGCAGCCATTTGAATTAGATGTATATACATATATATCCACAGAAAAGTCAATTTATTTTGTCTTGTTAAATCTCGGCAGACCAAATTAGATACCAAACACACATTTAGTTCCAGGGTTAAGGACAGCCAATATTATCTGTAAATTGATGTTTGATTTTTTTTTTTTTTTTTTTTTTTTTTAACAGATTTGCTTTTACTAAAACTGAAATGTAATGAAATGGTTTTGGATATTTTTTGTGAATTAACATTTGATATTTTGCTAATTGTAATCTAAGATGGTCTGTTGGGTTTTAATGTTACCTTAATTTCACTTATAGTATCAGCTGTATGTTACTGTGGTGACAAGAATTTAGCGAGGGTATATCGCTGTGGGATTATTCTTAGCGATTTCCTTCCCAATATTCCACATATATATTTATATATATCTTGAAATATATATTTACTTGTACATTTAGACCTGCACCACTTATTTTAGTGTGAATTTTTAAAATGTGAGGGCTGCCAATTATTAGTGAACGTTGTCATAAATGTGTGTGCTTTATTCTGCTGTGACATCTGATTGTCCCTTTTTCTAATCGTTACCTAGTTACGGAAGATGGTGAGCTGGTATGGGAGGTGCCCAATGATGTGGTCAATCTGCAGGATATGTGTAAGTTGCATGAACAGATGCCAAAAAGAGAAAACAAGGCCATCAAGTGCCTTATTTATTTGTGTTTTTCCGCTTTTATACAAAAATGATCCCAAGACAATATTTATTATTTAGGTATTTTTGATTCTGCAAAATTGTTTTGAATTTGTACTTTTGTATGGTAAGAAAAAATTGGCTAATCAATTAAATTATTAAATATTGGGCTTGTTTTGTATAAAAGAGATGTAGAAATACACAAGGTTATGTTCTCAGGTAACCAAATAAAACCAAATAAACAAGGTTATCTTTGATTGGCTAATAAAACCAAATAAACAAGGTTATCTTTGATTGGCTAATACAGCTAAACTTTTAACCAGATAGAAATTACTTCTGTCTCCATCTTGCTGCATGAATTAAAGTTTTATAAACAAAATGGACATAGTTTCATCAATTTTGATATTTTTGAATTATTTTCTTTAGTTATTAAATTTCATAAAAATAATATTTGCTTTCGACTTTGGTAAGTGGTAAAATCTTTGCTTTTGGCATTTAAGAATTTAATTTGCTAAATTAGCTGAGGTAAAATTAATATGATGAAACTGGTGTTCCATTGGCATGAGTTCCCTCCCTATACAGCTTGTCCTTTGCACTCTAACAAATGCTTCATGCACTAATATTGACTGATCTTTGGCAAAATTTGAAAACTTCTCTTAAAATATTACATTTGTTTCTCGTATATTATTTTTTTGATAAATACACATATTGCTTTTTATATAATTATTACTTTAAAGAAAATTGGTTTTTGAAATAAATTAACAATATTTGACAGTTTTCAAATTTTATTATGCAAATGCTTTTATTATTTAATTTTGTTTTATGATGATGTTGTATTATTTCCCTGCTTGGCAATTTTATTTTTTTTAATTTTTGCATCATTTTACCCCTACACTGTAATATGTTGCCATGGAAAAATAAATCCATTAAAACAAAATATAAAATGGTTGGTATTAATAGAAAGGTAAGTTTATAAGCTATAAAATCGAATCTCCCCCTGACACAAACAAGCCAACAGATCATTTAACCCAAAGTTTTCTTCATTTTGTTATTCTAATTGTTGCATGACCATTTCAGTCATATTTGAACACAATAAACTCTGCCTAAACTATTCATTTCATCTATGACATTTTCATTTCATTCATACTGTAACTGTTTTGTTGATTTTGTTTTCAAATAGCATGAATCATTACATATTATTTAATTTATGAGTAAGCTTACATAAATTTATAAATTGGATTCATATAGCATGCTATTCAATGCGATAACTTTCAAAAACTTAAGTATGAATTTCGATATCTGCAAGGAGGCAAGAATGATTTCAAATTGTTCTCTTCTTACCTTGAGTAATTTGGTTTCTAAGGAAAAAAGGAAATATTCACCAACATATAATAATAATTATTTACTACATACACCATGTTCCTGTCTGTTGACTCTTACAATCGGTTCTGTTTGTTACATTGCCTTTCCTTTTGTCTTGCTTTCGGCAAATGACCTTCAAAAGTCACTATTTTTAATAAAATGTCATGATCTGTAGGGAAAGAAATGAAATATATTTCAATCTTGTTAGATAATGTAACGATTCAAAAATGATAAAATATCATTACCATGAAAGGGAAAAGGAGACCAATTTTGAATAAATTCTTTGCTGATTGTATAAGTAAAAAAAATTTTTACTTTATAACATGTTTGTGTTTGAATCTAGCATGTCTGTTTCAGTGTTAAAATTGTATGTGTCTGATTTTTAAAAAAATCGATTTTAAAAGAAAATACAAGATCATATTTTTCTGATAATTCATTATTGCCATACTTTGATACCTATTCATGATCCTTTATCAGTATTCTGGCTTTTTATTCCTTCAAATTTGTTTTAGAAATCAGATTTTGTAGCTTTTATAGAATATTTATTTTTGAGAATTAATTCATCAATGAAATTAAATCTTTTAAATAGAATATATAAATGAATATTTGGATTTTTAAAAAAATCTTTTAACTTCTTTTGAATTAGCTCTTGGATTATTATTATATTTAGAAATGCAAGCTAAAAAGAAATCTGTTAGTTACTGTTAATAAATTAGTCCATTGTAAATTGTTTGAAATTTTTTTCCTAACCTAAATTCTCTCTTATCCTTTGTTTATTGCAAGTGTTTTGGTAAATGTATGGCCATTGCTTTTCTCAACAGCTTTTAAAAAATCTCATCTCAGATAATGTCCTCATTTCCTTTCCATGCAAAAAATTAGCAGCTTTGTCTTTTTTTTTCCTTTTGTGAAATCTGATTATGAAATAAGATTACTGCTTAATACAGTCCTCATAATCCTAAGAACATTAGATGATAAATTATTTTACATTTGTCATATGATAAATACTCATCAAGGTAATCTTCAGAGAAAAGGTATTGAAGCAGTATTTTTATTTTTTGAATGTTTTTTTTCAGGTTACTTACCAGGCATTCCCGGATTTGCCGCCTATGGTCGAGGAATCCCTGCTTTCAGCCCCGCAGGCTATTACTACCCAGGTATGGAGTTACTGCATTTGGCCTCATGGTATCCAGATACCCCCCTCGGGTTTTAAAACTTGTTCCCAATGAGGTGTAATGATTCGTTTCATATGCAACATGAACTGACATATCAGACGAAAAAACTGTACTTTGTACTTAATGATGAAAGGCAACGAGATCATAATAGGGAACCAATCACACTAGCAACTGAACATGTTAATCTTATTGAAATTATCTCCCTTTCTTTAAGCTTGTTGGAGAAGATTTGCATATAATTTGGCGAAACAAATTGAAGATTATTTTATGACTTTATTCTTAATCTTGATAATATTTTTTTTAATTTTTAAAAAATTAAACAAAAGCAATGTGTAAGAGCAATATTAACCATTATAAACTGTGAAAAGTGCTAATAAACTTTCACATAATTATTAATGATATTATTGAAAAAATCAAAATATGCCATATTTTGAGATTAATCTGTTAGCTAGCTGGTGTGTGCTTCCTCAAGACCACATATTATACAATGGTTTATTTTAAAATGTGCACCTTCTGTTTTTAACATTGGGCGAGATTCTTCATTACGGCACACTAATCTGTGTCTTTAATTCGTGCCAAAACACCTTTTTCAATTGTTTTTTGTCGAAATTTGTATTTTTGTGTCATTTTTGGTCATTTTGGTAGCCTTTAAACAAATGTAAACTCTTTTTTTTTTCTGGTTGTGTTTTTACGATTTTCTCACCTATTTTATTTTGACTATGGTCTATACATCTCCGACGTCAGTTTGTAATACTAAGGGCAGACAACTCTTTGTCTATCGTTTTACAAACCCAGTTATCTCCTGTATTGATAGCTGCTGTGTGCATGAAGATTTAATCTTATTATGGATTTTAATTGTGAAGATTTGATTGTTTCTTTTTACTATCATTTTTTTATATAATTGATTTTTTAAAGTCGATTGCTACCAAAAGCCAATGTTTATACATTCATTTTAAAGAAAATACTCTGTATATATATATTATTACATGTGAATATGTTGTGCCATAGTTAAGCAGAAGTATTTAGACACTCGCTTTTAGTATCGTGGTAACGCTCTTTCTTGCTCAAGCCCCTTCGATGGCTCATTTATTTCTCTGACAGCAAACAGTTATTTAGATTTCAATAAATATAATGCTAATATTAATAAAAAATCAGATTTCAAATAAACGGTAGAAATTAGGGTACGCTGAAGCTTTACTGAATCACAATTTGTGTCATAGGGCAACAGAAGTAATGGAATAATAATATGCTTTAATAACTTAGGACGGGTTAAAATACCTATTTATTTATAAATATACATGGTAGTATGCGATAATAATTTATGTAGATACTATAATGCATGTAGAATGATACTATCAGTAGTCAACGATAGTTTATAGTCGAAAGGCAGGATTATATGACATCGAAACAATGGGCCCCTATTTTTGATAATTTTAAAAAAGCGGGCTAGAGCAAGGAAGTGTTCTACATAGTTAAGACTATTAAACACTCAAAAGTTAGGTTTGAACAATAGTGTGTGTGTATATTTATATATGGTATGCTGTGACCAAGAGAAACCCAAACATGCCAGAAGTGCACCTCTAATTCTAAACTGGACTCTTCCTGCCCAATCATTATTTAATGAATGCTGAAAAGTTCATTTAAGACATAAAGGGGTGTCTGGTGTGAGAGTTTCAGCTGGTGGCAAACGTATGGCATTCCCTGTGTGTAAAAGTTTTTATTGTATTTTTCACTTCCATATAATATCTGTTATATACAAACCTGTTTATTATATTGTTCTCAATATTTTATCATTGTATTGGTATGGATGACCAAAAACGGGTCAGTTTTGTTATTTTTGAATTTTTTAATGTCCAAGATCGCCATAGCAATAAGCGTTATTGGTGCTGCAACATGTAGCCAAAGTAATTTATTAAATAATATTCTATGTATTTTTCCTTATAACCAGCTATGCATCCTTGACTAAAGAGGACTAATGAATTATTTTTTGTGTTTTTTCTCTTAAAGGTATCAATCGATTAATTCGCTTTCACTTTGAAATACTTGGCGTTGCCTTTTAGTTACGGTACCTCTCAAATCTATTTATTATTATTATTATTATCCGATGATATTCATGCTAACAGCTTCGATGTTTTGTCATTGCTTTTCGTAAACGTTAAAGCCATAATGAAGTCGTTGGCATTTTTTATAACCAAGGGCTCCTTCCCAGTATTTTATCATGAATTTATCTTTTGAAAGTTTCCTCCCCTTTCTTAAATTTGTTAGGGTAGGTAACTCTCAGGCTATTTAAATCATGAATGTTGAGTCACCACCATACCTCTGTAACCTGCCTGCAGTCAGTCTTTCAGGGTACCCACATTGAACATTTGCAGGAGAAATATTTTTAAATTGTAAATTATTTATCCTCGTCAAAATTAATCACATTTTTAACAAAGATATATTGTGTATCAAATGTCCTTATTACTCTTTGTTTGTATATAAATATGTGGGGTTCAGTTATTTTCCACATAAGTTTGTTGTCTTGTTGTGTTTTGATAAGATCTGATGTAAAAAAAATATACCAAAATAATATAATTTTATTAAAATATATAAATTTTCAGTCAACTATTAAAGTCTTGCTTTAAGATCATAAAATTTTGATTTAATGGTGATGAGGTGAAATAGAAAGAAATGGCCTCTGTATTTTCTTTTGGACAAAAATACCTTTCAATATTTGATAATATTTAAAGCATTTTAAAATCATTGAATTGTCTCTCGCATATTTGATCAATACGCATCCTAAACATTCCCTTATAAATAAAGTTAAATTCATATATTTTACCGTTAGAAGTAAGATTTTGACTTCATTGATGAATTTAATTATCATTCGAAGAGACATCTTTTGCATAAATATGACATGATTGTGGTACATGGACACAATATACTATACATTATATTGTGATCACACCAACACAATTTATTATACATTATATTGTGATCAGACACTGGGTAAATATTTCAATTAATGCATATATATTGAGAGATTAAAACAATTTTTTGCAAAAGGTGTCTTTTAGTCAGTAAATTAGAAAGCTAGACTTTAATAATTGAAATATTGTATCGCTATTTATCAAAATAGAGATACAAAATACAAAAGTGCTATTTAGTATTAATGAGTTAAAGTAGCCTTCATTTGAGGTAATGCAAATCTTTATGAATTAAATAAAGTGACTTAATTATGTTTATTTTATGGAGAAATTAATAATTATATTAATGAAATCAAATTTTTTTAATTACATACATGTACTTAATAAATGGAGTCTTTCATTTAGCCAGGCTATCACCATGACTATGAGATGTATTTGATTTAATTTGATATATTTATTAATTTCTCATTTATTTATTTATCAGACTTTCCCCCTAGTTGTTAGACTGTAAACACTATAACCTTCTATATTGTAGATCTATATATATGTAAGCACCTGAAGACAATACTTTTTGACAATTTCACCTTTGTTATTTCAGTCGAATCAAATCGATTTAATCAATTTTCTTGTTATTCCCAAGCATAATTCTCTCTCTCCTTCTTCAAAGGGCATTAAAGCTATCAGCTTATAGACAAATTTGTCAAAGTTAACCAAAGCTAGATTGAAGCATGCTGGACATGTTTTCAGATAGACCTAAAATAGGATGCATTTAAAAATCATATACTTAATTCTATTTATCACTGCCAAATGATATTCTAAGAGCATCTCACAAATGATTAAGAAATCAAAAAGATATTTTGAATCTCAAAAAAGTCAAGAAAAGTAAAAAGTATTGTTTATCATAGCTTACATTTGAACACTGTTAATGATAATCATTTGTTGTTCTTGGGTCATAATAAACCCATGAAACCATTTTGCTTATTCACTATGCTGGACTGAATGACTTTTGAATAAAACATTTTCATTGGCAACAAGGCTCTTTATTTCTTTACTATCAGCCAATCAAACTACATGTTGCATAATCCCGTAAGGTTTTTATTTCAAAATACAATATAGATCATATTTTGGGTAAAATATTAATTTAAGATAGCCATAATTAAAAACAGAATTGTAAATAGAATTGAATATGAATGAACTTGTACTTTGATTGGTTGAAAATGTTTTAAAATGGCGATGGGAATGATGAACAAGCACATGCATTGATGATATTCAAGAAGACTGAAATGAAGACAGATGGTGAGCTGGAGGACATTCGCGTAGAAATAACTGGAAATAGATGACCGTTTCTGAATTTTTAATTAAGAAGAATCCTAGAGAACTGTCTAGTATGTGAATGAGTTTTAATTTGAAGAAACTGGCTGAATAATGTGTGTGCTTGTTTTATTAGCTGGTATTTAATATAAAGAACCCCATATTGTGTATTATTACATTCATATTTATATCTACATATCTTTCTATATTTAACATCATTGTTATGCGTAGTTTGTCCTATATTTTGTAATATTAGGTTTGTGCACTTAAATATTTATCATATAACTTTTTTTAATTTCACTCACTGGTGAGCTGTATATGATACGTACCTCTTATAGTTACCAAATTACATTTATTACAAAACGAAAATTAACAAAATCTTCGTTTTCATCTGATATTGTATGTTTTGTGTGGTTCAACAAAAATCTTTTGTTTCTGGAACTGTGCAGGGTAATTTCCTGAATTAAAAGGCAGATCTGACTTAAATTTCTCTTTTGTGATACTCAAAATTAAAATTATCACGTTATTTGAATATTATTATTTTCACTTGCACTCTCGTACAAAGATGCTAGAACGTTTTGTTAATTTTTTGTTCCAAGTAGCAATGTCTAATCGAGGTCTGGGTTACATGATACTAACGAACGAATTAGCATATAGATGTGTGTATATATTAATTCTAAATGTTGATTATATATTCATGTATATATATTAATTAATTCTAAATGTTGATCATATATTCATGTATCTTGTTACTAATCATACCGAATTGAAAGAAAGAAAACTTTTATTTGGCACTTTCTCAATCTAGTCCGCAAACATCACCAGGCTAGGAGGTTACCATTGCTGCTTCGATTGGAAAACTTGTAATTTTGATCCTAATTAGAAGATCTTATATTATTCTTTTAGATTCATCTTGAATGTTTTTAAACTGATGTTTTGTTCTATGTTTTTTTGCCGTTTGTAATAACAATGGATGTTAATTAATGATGTTTGTGATTAGTATAAAATCGATATGAGAAAAAACAAAACAACATGATCACGTATATCTGATATGTTTTATATCTGGAGAGAAAACTGGCTTTCAATGCTACTGAGCGTTAAATGTTTATTTACAAACCGATAAATTATTATACAGCATATTCTTTTTTATTTGAAAGGACATGTTTGAATTACCGTAAATCATTTATTAACACATCCAGTGCTTAAAGTCATAACTTGTAGCTTTTTAACTCATTGGTTGATTTGTGATCATATGATCAAGATGGCGCCCTGGTTTGATGCATGTTGCCGTTGCCCACGCACACTAAGACTATCACTATATTATAGCTTTCAGTAGTCTAGAATAGAGAATTGCATGACAATACAATAAAAGCCTTAGTTGATACTATGTTACTGCTTTCAATCCTAAACTTTTCAACCCATCTTTTCGGAACCTCTTAGATTTGTTTTGGTGCGATTTCTATTTGTAAAGTAAAAACTATTAGACTAGCACAGCATATTTGAACCGTCTTAGTAGATTTTCTTGAAATTAAGATTGAAAACAAAGGTTGTAATTATCATGGGTTATGTTTTAGTTTTATTGCATGTTTTTATTTGCTGTGCCTTTCATATTTAGCACATAATGTACGCAAAAAGTCTATATACGACGTGATAATAGATTGTAGCCATATTATTAGAGTAGTCGTAAATGTGTGTGGACATGGTGCATTCGTTTACCAGGGAAGCCAATATTTAGCAAATAATATTACCATATTGAAGCTCTGTATAACTATTTCATTAATGAATCAATTAAAGAGAAATGATTGTGAATTATGGATAAGTTTAAATGCTAATGCCAGCGAAAAAAAACCAAGAAAAGACAATGGTTTTGTCAGTATTTTAATACAAGTTAACTGATTTTTCTTGTAAGGGAATCCAGATGCCAAAAATGATATCAAAAAGCAAACTAAGTATGTTTTTCCATGCCATTGTGCTCTAATCTACAAATGCTACTGTATGCTGACGTTCTTGATATTTATCACTGAAATAATTCAGAGCTTCTCTCTTTCTTAGGAGGCTTCCCTGGTTATAGTTATCTTTCCTTGCCTGGTGCTGCTGGTCATGCAGAAAGGACAACGTCCCCTGCTTTCTATGCTGATTTGAATTCCGCTAACCATGCTGCGCTGGCCGCAGCCCAAATACAGAGAAGTGAAACCTCACCACTACCAATAAGTACATCACCTCTACAACGAGATTCACTTCAGCGAAATCCTGGATTGGGTAAGAGTTTAAATCCCTTTAACAAAAATTTGCACCAATGGTGATGTAGTTCTAAAAGTTTTTATGTCAACTGAGTAATTATAACTTTATGGCATTTCTTTTTACAATAATTGTATAAACTTTGATCCTTGTAGCTGCAGCAGCTGCTGCAATGATGAGTAATTTTGCTGGCCAACCAACTTTCACAACTGCAACATCTCCACGTGGGTATCCAGGAGCTAGTAGCCCTGGTCCATTAGATCTCTACGCAGCAGCACAAGAAGGGTATGGGTATGTTCAGGCCACAAGTCCACAACCTGCTGGATTTGCTCCTAATTTATTAGGCAGGGTAAGTTTTTATTAAAACATTTTTGAATATCTTTATTTTATTTTTGCACTCTCTGTAATAAATGTAGCTGGATAGCTCTATTAACATATTTTCATGGAGCTTTCGTGCTATGAAACAGAGTTGAATTAGAGAGACAAAATGGGAAATTTTACTTTGATTGTCTATCAAGAAAGAACTTTCTCCTATAAAGTTTATTGTTCGCAATCATGAAGAATAGTTGAAGATATTTTTGACAAATCTGAAGATTTGGAACATGCCCAGATCTGATTCAGCTCTGAGTTTGCAAAGCTTCTCTGGTTGGATATGTTGTTTATTGGTGTTTTTTGGTGGCAGATGTGGCAGAAATATCAAAAAAGTAGCGATTAAAGAAACACATCCCGAACTCTTAAAGATAAACTCAAATATATCTTTATTATTAGGCCTAATACCTTTTCTAAGATTAAGGTAAAGAAATTGTAGGGCAACATACTAGAGCATCTATGTAAAACAAACCAGCAATGATGTTAGATGAAAAGGAAAATTAAAATAGTTTCCAATGAGTTAATTCTTAAAAACAGATATTTTGGATATAGAATTACTAAAAAGAAATGGTATATTGTCACAGTATATTTGAATAGTTAGATAATGCTATACATCAGTTAAATCCATGTTAAATTGACATACATAATGCAATGTGGTGATTTGTACACCTTTTAGAGGGTAGAATTAGCTTTTTTATTTTTTGGTAATTGGTGCAATTATTACCCAACAGGCCCCCTTGATTGCCACAAGTTTCCAAAATGGCTACCACTGATCAAGGATTCAGGATTGAAGAATATAGGATCGATAAAAGGTATAAAAAGTTGTTACTCCCTGTAGATGGCCTAATATGATGCATGAAAATATATATAATCCCATTAAAAAAAGTATATTCTAAACTCGTCTTGTAAAATGCCCCTCAACTAATAGTAATGCATGATCATAGTAAACTTGCCATATATACGCAATTTATTTCACATAATGAAATTAACACCACAATCTATATATCAAGCAAGTTTTAATTTTTTGCATGAATTTTAAAATACAGTAAGCTATTTACCAGCATTGAATTTTTTTTATTATTATTATTCATTAAAGGAAAGTGTCTTGTAAAAATTCAAGTCACTTAACCAATTTCTATTAAAAAAAAAAAAGAAATTCACATGAACCTTAACAGATTCTAGGAATTCTTAAAGCTAACAAATTTTCAAATTTTATGATTGACAAACTTTATAATAAATATTCCTTGCACATATTTATTTTTTATATCCCATTGGTGATGGTTTTGATGTGTTTTTTTTTTCTAATTTGCACTCTTTTCCTTTTGAAGTTCTAATTTCAAATTAAGCTATTACTTTCAGATTATGTTCCAAAAATTGCAATTAAATAATATTTCAGATAAAACCCCCCAAGATGTTAGCATATCTTGTACTGATATACTGAGTTCTAATGTAGCTCGGAGGGTTTTTGCATATGAACTTTGTTACTTTATTGTCAAGGAAGCACAGACTAGATTTACAAGGAACAGATGAATGCACTGAAAAATAAAATCTGCAAATATATATCTAGGATACCCAGTAGTTTTAAAATTAACTTCAAGAGAGAGAGAAATGGGGTTTAACGTCCACTCGACACAAACTAGGTCATTTCGGGACTAACATATGGTTCAATTTTATTTCCATAATTCGCTTGCGCGTAGGGGTCTTTAGCAGTGGGAGGAAACCGGAGGACCCGGAGAAAACCCACGAGGTTGGACAGGCGACCCTACTCCTTGTCACGTACAACCGGGGATTCGAAACCACGCCAGTTGACTCAATGACAGACTTAATGATACAGCGCGCACTTGCTAACCACTAAGCCATCCAACCCCGCAAAATTAACTTCAAAAATCTCAAGTTCAAATTATATTAGCCTACACAGCATGATAATAGCTTTGCAATATGCATGAGAGAAATGAAATATGGTTTAATGTCCTATTTTTCTACGCGGACAGGGCTAATGAAGACCGGACAGGGCTAATGGAGACCGGCATATGCCACACAGAGTGCTATGAGGGGAATTTTGTGCGTACATCGGTGCTATGGCCTATTCTTATTCCTACTATCAAGGTTTTTTTTGTCAAACCAATGTGTACACAGGACCAAATGTTTTTCATCCTTTCCGAACAAGACACTGTGCTTGCCAGGCCCTCCATGTAGCGGAAATCTCACTGGAAAATACTGGGAGCGAACCCTGGACCTTCTGGTTGGTGAGCCAGCACCTTACTGAGCCACTGTGGCTCCCCATGTATGAGAGAGAGAGAGAGGGGGTTTAATGGCCACTTAACACAAACTTGGTCATTTCGGGACTAACAAATGGTACAATTCTATTTCAATAAATCACTTGCAGGTAGGGGGTCTTTAGCAGTGGGGGGAAACCAGAGGACCCTGGGAAAACCCAAAAGGCTATTCCTTGTCATTTATGGAGTGGGATCGAAACCACACCATATCACTCAATGACATACCTTATAATCTACAGTGCACATGTTAAATCATTTAGCTTGTGGCTTGTAATTCAGAGGGAATTTTGCCCAGACAGTGGTGCAACAGTCTACAATGTGTAGGCTAGACTACACAGGACCAGTTTTTTTTGTCCCATCCATATGTCTAGACACCCTTTCCTTGCCATGCACTCTGTCCTAAGGGTAGTAGTATTGGGTAAATTGTCTTGCCTGTTACATGCTATCGAAATATTACTGTCAAATCTGAACATATTTTCAATGGACAATGGGGTAGGCCCCCTATGTAGGATATTCCTGGCTAAAACTTTATTATTGAATCCTTTTTCTTAGGGGGTGAATTTTAAAAAGCTTTTTCTCTTCTTCTTTTTTTAGCAACTAAGCGGATCCATTTTAACAGGAAGAAATTTCTAAGAGACAGGGAAATTTGAAGCTGCTGTATTGTAATATAAGGGATCCATTTGTCTCAAGGGAGCTAACCCAGTTTACCATGCAAATTAATCTGGAGTTGCCTCCCATTGATGTGCTGTATGGGGTATAATATATTATATTCCCCTTGTTATTGTGCTGTGTCATGTGACTCATTCTGTATATACCTATATATGTAAATGTATTTTAATGTTGTGAATTTTTTCTTTTTAAAATGCTTAAATATTTTATTTGATTTTTTCGTACTGTTCCATTTTTTTCATGGAACTCGTCCAATTAATTTGTATTGTTTTGTCTGATGGAAATTTTTATGAACATTTCTTTTTTGTCTAGTGTTATTTGTTATACACAAAACCAACAAAATAACCACATTTTGTTTTTATGTAAATATTTTTACAAGTTATCTTTTTTTTTAAAATTTGGAATCCTTATCTTTGTGTTCATTCATGACAATTTTTTTTTTATATATATATAAAAATTTTAGTTATTTTTGTGCATTGAAAAATTACGCTTAAACTATTCTTTAAGTAAAATTTAAACTTTTTGAATTTTACTGAAATAATAAGTTTTTAAAATTTTGGGGAAATAGTAGGATAATTTTAAAATTTTTATTTCTATTTATTTTGCTTTACATAATAAACCCGTTTTATGTAGTAAATAGACCGGTAAAATATATCATTACACTATTTTGGCTGACCAGTTATTTATATTTGCTGTGTTGGTATAATAGCAATAAAAGTATAGTATATATACAAAGAAAGCATTAGATTAGGTAGAATGTACCATGACAATGTAATTGTTTTGATAAAAAAAATATAAAATGACGCATCATGGAAACTCAACATGACACAGTACCAACCAAATGCTGAGTTTCAAATCTTTTTTGGAAAATTTTACAAGGAAAGCAATACATTTTTTTTGTAAATAAACTTTGTTGATAAATACAGTTATATAAATATTATATATATATATGGTTTAACTGATATACATATTATACATATATCTTATATCTATATATATATATATATTAATCTTGTGGATATGATGACATTATACCTCTTAAACATTGATATATACGTTATTATATTATGATTCTTCTATGTTGTTCAAGTCAAGGTACACTGCATGTGAAAAAAAGCCAAAAATCATTAAATATATTATTACTATATATTAGTGTAGAATTAGACAAAATTAGATACAGATCTTACCTAGTTGTTGCTGATGAGCAGTTCTTTAAGTCTTAATTTACATATTCTTAAATTCCTTAATGCATTTTTTCAAAGGGGTATAACAAATAGGCATCATTAACATGTATCTCATCAGCACCAACTAGTAAAGTTCTCGAGTGAATTTAGGCATATTTATAAAAAAATATTTCAGAATCTCACTTAGCGTGTGTGATTTTAGATTATTTATAAACCTTGTTTACATGACGCAACACGAACAAATAAAGTCTATAAAATGGTTTTGATTTCTTTATATATACTTCTGTTATATATTTCTTTGTATGTGTGTTAACAAAATCTAAGCATGTTCATAGACATAAGCTGGTGTTGATCCATTTCATTATAGGAACATTGATTGTTGCTTCTTCTTTAACACATATAAAAGTGAATTCATTGTTCATTGATTGCTAATATATACGAACAAACTACTCATACAAATTATTAATTGAAATATGTAATGTTATACTACTTTGTGGATTTATTGATTTGATACGTTTTATTATATACTGTTACTTATAATATATTATATATATATATACATGTATACACTCGCCATACTTTTCATTTTACCACATGTATATTTAACATTGTAATGTAATGGAATTTTGACTTGTTGACCAGATTTTTTGGTAACTATGTTATATATTATGCCCTTTAACATTTTATTATATTCATATTATATCTTGTACAGTTGTTCCCCCTTTCTTTAAATGGCTCTATGTATGTATAACCAATGGTAGTAATTAGTTAATGTGCACGCTGATCTGTATATATACACTACTCGCTTAATAGTTCCTGAAAAAAAGTATCTCTCCACCATATACTTGTGATAAATGTTTATATACTAAGATAGGGTTCCAGCTTCAACATCATATTGTTTTGTTAGTAAGGGATTTGATTTGATTTTTCTCAAGGGAAGAGATCAAAGGGGATTCAACCCTTGTCATTTTCTTTATTTACTATATACGCATATCAAGATCTGGTTTCTTTTTTTATTCTATATATTTTATTATTTTCATCATTTGCTAAAAATTAGGATCTTGCCAATACTTCAACAGTTCAATGAATTTTTTTTGACAGGTTTTATTATGAGATGTTTTCATGAGATGAGACAATTTATAATCACTAAATTATTTTAGGAAATTTGCTAGAATGATGATTTGTATTTTGAGATAGTGCACCCCTTTGAAAAGAAGCACATGGGTAATCCATATACTAATTTAAAAAAATAAATTTCCTTCCAAATTAATTTCAATAAAATTCTTTGTTGATGGAACAGCAAATAATAAATAATGTTTAGATTAGGTAATGGCAAAAAACATTCCCTCAGGAAGAACACCGTTGTTAGGAATGATGGAACAAATATGGAATATTCTGATTGATCTTAGTTCGATAGTAAAAATTGAATCAGAGCTTACTGAATGAAGTCCAGTATAAAATATATAATCTCTGATAAGTATATTCCATATTTATAATTCATTATATTCCTGTCTGTTAGTGACGAGAAGCTTAAAGTAGACTTAGAAAATGTAGATCTAGAAGAGAGTTTATTATGTGTCAACAAATCAGTTTTTGAAAAAGTGCTAAAATTTATACTTTATTATAACCTAGCTGAGAAATTATTAAGAAAATGATTTTTGATTTTGTGAAGCAGTAGAAAGCGAAAGCGTATATGAATGAATTAGAAAAATAATGTATCCATAAGCAATAAATTTTAGAGAGCTAGGAATCTAATAATTGTAGTTGAACAACTAACGAAGCTATAATGATCTCATTTTATAAAAGGCCACGTATTCAATGTGTTAATTGTTTCAAATTTTGATGTGAATACAATGGTCTTGTTTTCTGTTATAAACTTTTTTTAATTCTTTTTTTTTCGCTGTGTGAAAATTTAATCCTTTATGATCTTAAGCAAATCTTTCAACCATTTTAAAGACACTTGCCATAAGATAAACGAATAAAAATACACTGATTGATTAAAATAAGTTAATGAATTATCTTTGAATTGCACACTGGATGAGTTAACTTAATACATTTCAAAGTCAAAATACCCATCTAATTCTATACCAGATAATTATAATAATAGTGGGTACTGGATGATACTGACTTCGTTGGGTCAATATACATTAAATATCAGAATTCAAGACCAGATTATGTTTATCTAGAAAGTAGAAAGCTGTACTAATTATCTGTAAATAAATGAAATTGAAGTGCCAGATCATTTGAAGTTTTTGTATTCATCAAATTAAATAGAGATAGGTAGTGTAATATTTGTGTATTGAACAACTGGACAGATTGGGTCACCATCTAGCAGCATGGATTGTAAAAATAAAGTTACCTCCCCTTGGTTACAGTTTATAGTCAGTCAGCAAGATGTTGGTTGTTTTTTTGGTGGGGGGTGGGTGTCTTCAAAATCCGATTAACAAAAGCTCTTTTACTTACAGTAATTGATGATTATTTATTATTGTATTACTACTAATTTAATTAGATAGTGGAGATATGTAGATTAATTCCTGTAAACATTGAAATGAGAGAAGATAAAGTTATAATTCTTATATCATGTATCCTTCACTTGATTTGTTTAATGGTAAATACAGTGGTCACATTTGCTGAAATCTGCAAAAATTAATATGTATTTTATCTATTAATTCAAATCAAGAAGGATTATCATAATTAGTAGGGGGAAATATGGTAGCTAGATGTGGACATAATCTGTCTAAAATTAGGGTAAAAATTATAAACATCACAACACATTTCACTCAACAACATGTGCCAAAGGACGTCACGACTTACTGTTCATATTTATATTCTTGTACACTCTAGTCTCAGAAAATGGTCTTCAAAATCATATCCTATACCTGCTTTAGAAAACTAATATATTGAATGGATCTTAGATTTATCCACATATATAGTAGTACCATATAGAAAATATAATAGAATAAAGAATTTTTTTAGGCAGCTGGACTTTTTGTAATTTTGTTTTGACTGTTATCATTGTCATGCTCAAGAATCCTATTATGCAATTGTAATTGTTTTCTTATTTATTTACTCCCATGAATTAAGTTCTTCAATTTATTCTAAAAGACCATTCTGAGACCATTCTGAGACTATTATGTACAAGGTGTGATTTAGTGTATATGTAGCAATACTGGGTAGCCATAGATAAATGTAATTGTAGTTTTGATCAATGATATAGTAATATATTAACTTTTGTTGCAAACAGTAACTATGGAAACTGTGATACATTTCGAAAAAAAAAATTGTAAATTCTCCAAGCTTGTTGATTTGAAACATAAAGGAAAGTAAGAAAGATATGAAATATTTTTATTTGTCTAGTTTAGAATATAGTTTTGTTTGTTTTACATGTCACATGCCCTTTAAGCAGTCACTGGTGTCAAAAATAAATTTCGGAAGAAATACAAAATTGAAAAATGTGTATATTAAGATAGCTGAGTAAAAAATAATCTACATATATATGTAAACAAACACAATTATTAATACATTAATCCAACTCGGACACATGATTTATTAAGGTACAATTCTGTTAGATTATTAAAATGGTAAAATATGTCATTCTGATTATACAGCCGGATTATAAACCAGTGATGCTTTAAAGGACAGTACATAATTTATACCTAAAAACGTCCAGTGTGTTCGAGATATATAAACTATTATTATTATTATATTATATCATGCAGGGAGTGAAAGACCATTGTGTATGTTTTTCTTGTTCTATATATGTATATATACATATATAAAGTCAATCTGTCTTGTGGCTCATCAGTGTTCTTGTGCACACACACATACACATTTTTTTCTGAATAATAAAAATGGTTGATTTACGAATATTTTGTTATTGTTAATCTAAGCAGAAGTAAAAGTTATTCCAATTTCATTCAAGCCTGTGAGGTTATAAATGTAGATCTACATTCTTTTTTGCAGTATTATCAGGATTCTTTAATGTCAGTGAAGGACGTTAGTGACTTAGCTCATCTGTTACAAAATTAACCCTCCGATAAGGTTTATAACTTCTAGTTCATTCGTTTTATAAATAAAGAAAAAGTGAAGGATCTATTGTACTGGGCTTAGTTGGACTTGGCGCAATGGAAATTGTTGTTCTACCTGGGGATGCTCTGAAAAATAAAACATTTTTTTTATTGGACACTGGGTATTATTAACATAGTAATTTTTTGTCAGTGAAATGATAATCACAATTTTCTATAGCGCTGCGCTGAACATTATGTGGCTCTTTGCATCAAATGAACAAGTATGATACAAAAATAAACAACTCTGAACAAAGTCTACATCCGGATTAAGTTTGGAATTGAAGGGAATATAATAAAGAGTTACAGCCGAAAACAGACAACATAACAAAAACATTGATTAACACAAACCAAGGTTACGAACACAGTCCCAAGGACTTACAGAATATTTCCGATAGTTATTGGTTTTAAGTATATAACTGAGTGGCATCCTTGTCTACGATATCACCTTAGGTGGAAGTGGACGTAAAACTCTAGGAACGAACCAACAAGTGGCATCCGCATAGAGTTTGTAATTTGAGGCTTGCCCCGGTTAATTACTGAAAACGGCAGTACCAAAGACTGGTCCTTGGGGAACACCATATTCCAATACTTTATGGGTTGATTGAATGAATCATTGGGATACATTATGTTCGTCACAATAGGTAAGGATTCATTGCAAACTATGTTAATTTCGTTTATATTTTGATTTGTTCCCAAAAATATGGTATAATTATTATACCACAATAAGCATAAATGTACATTTACGCAATTATCTACAACGTTATAGCCCTTGCCTCTGACTTGTAAATATGTTACGCACACAGGGTTTTGGATTTTTTAAATCAAATATCTTGTGTGAAACATTGTAAAGACATTTGGGAGAAACTTTATAGTTTGATTTGGTTAAACTTATTAGTCTTGCCACGTTAAGTACGACACAATTATTCGGCAAGTATTAAAGTTGCTGTCCTTTCCTCCGAAAACAAAAGTTACTGTAAATAATATAAAAATTATTTTGTGAGCATTATCAATTTATACAACAGTACGTATTGTGACATTCAATTATGTCTGTATTTAGAAAAACAACATCGAATGATTTTTCAATGAAGCAGAACTTTAAAGCAGAAATAAATCTCTATTCACATTTCAGATATAAATCACAGGGTATATATTCCCGCAGATACATCATACTGTTATGTCAATTACAGAAATATTCTGAACTCAAGGTTCGAGTAAAGGTTGGGAACATGATTGATCTACACCGATTCCTATAAATGGATATGGTCTAGAATACAATCTTAATAATGTTGAATATCCATATTCTGGCGCCAGTGTGTATTCCGAATAACCTCTCACATTTTAACCGCCAATCTGTCGAGCAACATAGTATAACATTACAGTATAAATTAGAATCATATACATACTACCGTCAATAAAAATGAAATAATACTGCAAAAGGAATAAAGTCTTAACAGATATCGTGTTTAGAATAATGTTATCCAGCACTGACACGTACCCCTCACCATGCTTGCTTATATATACTCTTTAAAAGAAGTAGGGGATATTGAAATGCAAATACCTATGCAGGTTGTGATATGATAAATACTCATGGACACTTGACATGCTTTGAGAGTATGTTCAAAGAACCACCGAGCTGCACATGTGACACGCAATAGCGCCATACCCTTGGGAGGGGTTCACTGCCAAATTTGACACTTCAAGGAAGGGTTGATAAAAACTGCAGCTTGCTGGTTTATCCTATCCATGTTTGCTTTCCTATCGGTTTATGCATAAGATTTACTGTTTAACGTATCTTTACTTTAGTGTGTTACGTTTAATTTGATCGGGAGACGTGTTCGTCAACGTCAACCGACAACACTGCAAGAATTGGCCGTGGCACTGCAAGAGGAGTGGGTCAGATTGCCCCAAATCGTGATTGGACGGTTGATTAGGACATGCCACGACGAATTGCTGAATGTCTGAGGACTGGTGGAGCAATTACTCATTATCAAGACAAAAATCAAAAACGTCCATTTTCACATTTGACAGTGTATCTCTTTGCGAGTGAAATGGGGCCGTTAGATAAGCCGCCCATATGAACTGTTTATGTTAATGTGTAGGCAATTGGCCTATTATTAACATACACTGGTTACCTCTAATAAAAACAGCAGTGCATTTCCGCAGTTTTGTATTGTTTCTGAATATCCCCTACTTTTTTTTGAAGAGTATACAATTACCAATTACATTTTGAATAACATAAATCCCAAATGTACCATTTTCTATTATTGACTATAATGACATGGATGTCAATTTAGATATGAAAAGTTTCAAATCAGATATATAATATGATATATAATAATATTATGCAAATAATAAAAAACGATTTGAAATTAGATATATCGACACAGATGACGTTGCTTGATGAAATGAAGTTTCAGAATTGAATCAATATATACATATTAAAAATACATTAGGTAAAAGCTAAATATGCGTTTTTTTCTGGCTTCAAATGTCAAATAAATTATTATTTAGACATTTGTTCACCTCTCTAGACAATTGGATGGTCGAGATATTATATGGACTAAGACAACCGCGCCATTAAACATCTAAATGGATAATCGAAACATTGTTTATGATCGTAGTAATGGCACTTGACAATCGAGACTATCTTGTCAAAACTTGTCAATACTCACAACTTCATCCTGAGTAAAGTAATTTGACTGAATTTTCAAGATATTCATTTTCTTTTTTGGAACTATTATAGCAAGAAGGACTATCCAAATCTAACATAATGCATCTAGAATTAATGAAAAAAAGAAAAGCCACAAATTTTCATTTTAGCCTGAAAACGAAGTTGTTTTAGTGTTTGACTTAACTGAAAGTGGATAAGAAGTGCTTCTTCGTCTGCTACAAAATACGTTCATGAAAATAGTTCTGAATTGTTTCCCAACTACACAGTAAAGAATGATATTAACGGAAGAGTTAATTATTAACATTGTATCCGCGACAGCTATATAGTTATTACAAGCGACAGAGCAATCTTCGTATTTATTAACACCACGTGCCAATATCAGAGCAGATGCCGACATCATTCCACAAAGAAAAAACATGGTAGTCACAGCAAGTACCATGGCGTTCAGTCGTCCACCAGATTTTTTTTCTTTCTGACTTTTTGGAGCAAATGCACGACTTCGTCTAATGGCTAATAGAAGCTGCGCATTTAATGCAAGAATGATAATGAATGGTATTAAAAATTCCAGTGTAAAAGTTATCCAGATGATAAAGATATCATTATAAAGATTACTTTCTCCAAATTTTGTGCGAATAAATTTTGTTCTGGTGGTGTTAGTTTTGGGGTCAAATTTTTCATAGGTTGTATAAGCCAGATACCGAGGAATGTTAAATACAACAGCCCATATAAACACGCACACGATGGCTTTTCGTGCCATTGATTTACAACACAATCTTGCTGCTCTTAATGGATGTACTACTGCAACAAATCGTTCTATGGTAATCAAAATTGTCATTGTCATGGTTCCAGTAAATGCGATTCTTGGTACAGCAATAAATAACACATATATTGGGGTAATAAATGGTCGATAGGCTGCGGTAATCAGGCCAAATTTACTCAACATGGTCAGCTGTTCCAAAAACAATTCGAAAAACAGAAAAATGGTATCAAATACGGCTAGAAAAGTCAAGAGTAAAGGCGTGGATGACTTTTGTTTGTAGTTCATAAGAACTATAATAGATATAACGTTTCCAATCAGTCCAAATATGGCGATAGCAGTTCCTCCTATAGCATTAAATCCTACCCTGGCCGCCCAATATCCTGGCATGTCGGTTTCTGTGGTATTGGTGAAAAGATCAGTGTAGTTGGTAAAGTCGGAATCATTCATGTTGACAGATTGAGTTGGTGCACAATTTCTCTTTCACTCGCCACCCTGAAGTGAACAAAGAGATTCATTATGTGAAATTGAATCAACCAGAAACAACAACAGTGACCAGTTGAGTATAGTATTATCTTGAACTTATTGATGTAATAAGAAAGTAATTGTTTATTAAAGTATCACACACTGCATATAAAACAATAAATAATACTTTTTAAAATAAATACATAAAATAAGAGCAATGTGTTCATTAATACATTTACCACAGTTCAAATAATCAGATCATTAAAAAATAAAAAACGAAAATACATTTAGATAAAACCTCTCCTTGGTCTTAACATGTTTAAAAGAGTAATTAAAACGTTCTATGAAGAACTATTATTTACATCTATATACAGATTCTTTTGGATATCTGAGAAGAGACACCAATGAATTATAAATGGATATCTGAGAAGAGACACCAGTCAATTACCAATGGATATCTGAGTAGACGCTAGTCAATTAGGCTACAAATGGATAGTATGCCACGCGTATGTAAACTAGCTGCACTTATTTGAGATCTGGCCTAACTAAAACTGGCCTTTGAATACTACAAAAAGACTGGCACTTAAAAGTTAAGGCAGCTTAACTTTAAAGGAAATTTGATACTTAACATTGCCTAAGAATACCACTTTCCCTTAACTTATAAGAAGTTATGTATATTTAAATGAAATCTAGTAGTTAACTGACTCTTAGACTTAAGATATCCTTTAAATACGGACCCATGTCTAACCCGTATCACATCAGAAAGCTACATTTGATAGTCTCTTAAGTAGACTTAAGAACAATAAACTAACAAACACTATTAGTAAAATGATCATCCTATAAATGTAATTTTCGGTACATTACAGTTTTAGCTATCTGTTACACTTGGTTTTTACGTCTCACATGAAATAAAAGAACCCGTGTAACAAGTATACTAAGCAGCAAAAGAAACGTCAGGTTGGTATGTTACTCTGAATAGACGCATTGCATAAAACTTGCCAAATGTTTTTATTGTATATTTATGACCACATCTCCAACTTTACCTGAGCAATAAGGCTCCTTCCCAAACACAGAATTGAACCCAGTAAATGTTCTCAAAAACGCAACCTGACTTCTGAGATGGTAATGTGTTCTCCATGTAACTCATGCTGCAACCCTATAAAATACACCCCCATACCTGGTTGAATCATTTATACTACAACGTCAGCAGCATGTCACGACTCACGACAGCTCAGAGGAACCAGGTCACTTCCAGGTCAATGTTCAGACCATTTACAGGCTTCAGCAACGCTTTCAGGCCACCAACACCACTGATGATCACCCCCGAACTGGTAGACAAAGGGTTACCACAAGGCGACAAGACCGCCATGTTGTGCGACAGCACGTCCACAATCCCTTCACACAAAGTTACTCGGGACTTTCTACAGCAGAACGGTGTCAACGTTATGCACTGGTCAGCCCTTAGACCGGACTTAAACCCGATTGAACATCTTTGGGATGAAATTCAGAGGAGACTTAATAACGTCGTACCAGGACCAAACACAGCCGATGGATTGTGCCAGGCTTTCCCGAGAGAGTGGTTCCAGGTACCAATGGCGTTCATCAATCGTCTGGTCCACTCCATGTACAGACGCTGTACTGCTGTTATTGACAGTCGCGGTGGACACACCAGATACTGGTGTATAGACTGTGTACAGACCCTAAAACCTTCTCGTAATGTCTTGGAATTGTAATGAATTAATCACTAATGTGTCAACATACTGTTCACAAAAAATTGCTTTGATCCATTTAGTAAGTCGTTTTCTAGAATGATTTGATTAAAGTGCCTCTCTGATTTTGAAATCGTACTGACGTTTTTTTGGGTTTTTTTTGCTGATTAGTATATAACAATGTTTTGCTAAATGCCCTTATCCCGATTTTCTTTTTTACTTAAGTGCTAGAAATGGGTGCAATTTTAATTTACTGCGTGGAATAGTTGTATATATTGTCGAAGAATAAAGGATTTTGATGGGCAAATCGATAGAAAGTGGCCGTATGATAATCATTCTTATTAACCCTTGTGGGTTCATTTTGTGAGAATCACATAGCAGGTATCATCTGGTCCATACAAAAACCATTCAATATTTGGAATTCATCATTTAATTTTTGGTATTTGAAACATGCAGATACTAAATGAGGGAATACTCTGACATGCGCAATATGGTTTTAGGCAGCAAACACATTAGCAAAATCACTACTGTGAGTTATAAGTTAGGGGTCCGGTTGGACCCCTTGTTCCCTTCAAGCGTTGGGCCTGATTTGCATTTGACATAACTCTGCATGTGGGAAGCATATGAATACCGATCTCTTTGCTACGTGTTAAAATATATTGGAGACAAAGTCACTAAATTTCAGAAAGTTGTACCCAGTAGTTGTTACAGAACACCATAAAACATGTGCATGGGGTCCACGGAGACCCCACGTGAACCGACAAAGGTTAATTCCAATGCATAAGTACTGTATAATGTTTCCAGAATTTGTGCTTCCTGGAATATATACTATAAAAAGTTGTTTAAATTGAGTTTAGTTTAGCCTTGGAATCGGATAAGCCGCGGTGGCTCAGTGAGTAAGACGTTGGCTCGCTAACCAGGAGATCTGGGGTTCTATCCCGGTATTGACAGATAAAGTTCTCGAGGATTTTTCCCTTGTCAGTGGTGCAGGACGGAGGAACTGGCACGGGACAACGAATGGATGGGACGACAAACCGAGGTCCGGTGTACACATTGTCGTTCACGTAAATGAACTATTGACAAATCGAATTCGAAATAAGAATAGGCCTTAGCGCCGCTGTCTGGGCAAAATTCCCCTCATAGCCCGTCTTAATTATCCCAGTCAGTGCAGAAAAGCAGACGGTTAAACCCGTTGGAATCTGATACATAAATGAAAGATCTACATTTAAATCCTCTGTCGCGAGGTAAGGGTACGTATTCAAAGGATATCTTAAGTCTAAGATATTCACTTATATACGTAACTTCCTGTAAGTTAAGAGTAAGTTGTACTTATAGACAATGTTAAATATAAAATTTTCATTCAAGTTAAGCTGCCTTAACTTTTAAGTGTTAGTCTTTTAGCGGTATTCAAAGCAATGTAGTAGCAGGCCCCTAATGGCAGTTTCAAAAGTTAACGGAGTGAGATAAAAACAATGTTCCACTCATAATTTATAATTAATTTTTGTATTACTTATTGCGTTTTAATCGGTAGTATTCGTACACACAATGTACCATCAACGTCGCAAGGCCTTTAGGATTCTTAAGTGTAGGCACTGACAAAATTTCTATGAATTTCTACAAACAATTTCCTAGTAATGACAACTATGATTTTAATAGAGTATAGTGCATTCTGCTCACTACTATCTTCTTTGAGAATAGATCTCTGCACTAAATTGCCGCCATATTCCAAAAATAGTATACTATTTTGTAATGTGGTTCTACTCCGTTTCATATCGGCCATACACACAGAGACTAAATAAATCTTTTCAATGATATTAAATTGAAGCGAAATAAATATTTCTCAAAATTATCGAAGTATACTTAGAGAGTTTCCGACTAAAATCATTCATTGAGGAATTAAAATGTCGACCAACTAGCTTAGTGTTTGTTCTCAAGCGGGAGGTAACAGACAAACACCGGTTTAGTATGAGTATAGTGGTGCTCTTAAGACGATCCAACCAACTTGCATGTGAAGTTAGAAATTCACGGTTTTTGGCAGTGACGGGTATTCCATAAGTTAGAAGTTCATGCTTTTTGGCGAATGCAGGTATTCCATAATTTAAGTGTACAGCTAAGTTTTTCCACTTGGCCAAAGTGGTGTGAATCATTGGCTGAATGACGCGTGCATTGTTTACATAAGACATAACTGCTTCGAAGAGAATGCTGCATTTTAGTCATATTAATACCCATTTACACTAAATTTTTACCTACAAATACGTCAACCGCCTTTATTTATTTTTCCAATATATACAAAAAATGTTTTAGAATTTAATTTGTCGCAGGAAAAAAGTTAATATTTCTAGCTCATAAGCCGCATCAATGTCATCCTTATCAGTGATTGTCGCGGCCAAGCAAATATTCACTGCGGATCAGTGTGGATCGCTACGTGTGCCCGTTCGTTATCGGCCGTAAAAAATCGCTGGCGAATTTCAATCGCCGCGATCGGGCGGAAAAATACGCTCGTCTGTCAACAGCATTATATAATCTTTAAGTGGCATTTAGCGATTGGAAAACACATTAATAGAACACAATTTTTATAACGATAAGAGGATACTTGTCGAAACGTCGTGCTTTTAGAATAAACCAGTGATTGTTTCCCATAAAAATTGTGTTCTATTAACAGCATTATAGTTAATCAAACGATGACAGGGTACTGAATACTGATAACGTTGTGGGTATGGTTACCGTTATTTACATCAGTTGTTTTATATTTATAGGTTCTTCAAACGATGCCAGAGTACTGATAACGTTGTGGGTATGGTTTCTATTATTTACACCAGTTGTTTTAGGTTCTCAGTGGTGTATTACTTATAGTATGAACAGAACGTTCCTTGACATTTTTACAATTAGAATTGATACGATTTTTTTTTGGGGGGGGGGGATATCCTACGTCGAATATATTAGCAATCCTAAACAAATCATATTATTAAGATCGATGTTGAAAAAATCCAAGATTATGTTCGGTTCTGCAATAGTTAACCTAGACACACAGCCTATAATCATTGAATATGAGAACGCCTATTTATTAAATCAACTTATATGTAAATTTCTGATATTTATTTCCCCTTCAACTCTCCATTTGATCGGAAAGCCTTATAATATGTCTCGGAAAATTCGTAATTCTACCCTCTCTATTTGCTAAAATATAAACTGGTTTAAACAGGGTTACAGTTCTGCACACAAGCCAAAATTCTGGCTCCAATGGAGCTGTATATGGGAGAGTGTCTGTAGGTGACTTTTGTATAAATTCTTCTGCAAACCATTACCTGATAACATCTGAGT